TCCGCCCGTTCGTCGCGGGTGGGCTGCCCGCCAAAGGGGCGGGCCCATGGCAGGTGGAGGAGGGAGTGAGTTTGCGCGCGCGAGAGACGGGGTGGGGCAGGCGTGGGTGGGGGACGCTGATAGTAGTAGGCCCAGAGGGGGTCTGGGATCGACGGGACAGTGTGTGTAAGTGAACTTTGTGTTGGCTTGTACCTCCCAATCTTCTTGGGGACCTTTACTCGGTCCGCTTCCCTGGGGCAAGGCTATTCCGTGGTACCTAGTTCATTTAATACTGAAGCATCCGAAAGTGAGATTCATCTTGATACCAGTCTTTGGTCCAGAGCAAATAGGAAGATGTCCAGCCACCTCAAACCCCCCCCACCCCAACCCTCAATGACTGATAGCTGCTTTCACAGTGTGTGGTCGAGGACTGAGTTAGTAAACCTCTGTGGTCCCTTCCAGCTTGAAGATTATATGATTCTCTGATGAACTCTTCTGCCTCGCAATAAATGTTAGAAACACAAAGTAGTGCTTTCCTTTAGATAAATCCAAAAGACCCTACCACAATCTCATGAATCTCAGTTGTGTGAACATGACAGATATTTGTAACATTCATACAAGAGGACAGGGAAAGAAGACAATCATTTCAGGCAGGATTTCTGCAAAACAGAAGTACAGGATGTTACAGGTTAGCAATGACAGAACTAGTGCCAGAATCAAATGATTTTAATCAGTTTGTATGCATATTAGTAATGATTATGACTGTGATATCCAAGTGGTCACCTCACTTCGGTGAGATTTCCCAAGCATTCAGTACCTTTCTATAGAAAGTAAATAAGTTTGTGTAGGGCAGCTATTAAAGACTTTTTTTTTTGTTTTATGATATAGGTAGTGGCTCCAATCCTTTCCGGCATCTGGAGAAGAGTGCTGTCTTACAGGAGGTATGGCTTAGAAATATAGTGTGTGTTTTCTATTCCGTTTTACAAGTGGACAGAGAGCCCCTGGAATGCTATGATCCAACATAAGAATTAAAGGATGTAACTGAGTTCCAAGAACATAGACTTGAGGGAAGAGGAGTAATTTGTCACAGGAGAGTCTAGAGCTTATAGAAATGCAAAAATATGTAGACTGTGTCACATGTTGAGAATTTTAAATAAAATATCAAAAGAGATGTTTAGGGCAAGCTTATTGAAGGAAGTTACAGATAATAAGCTCATTGTAGTCAAATGATGTAGGTAAATATTGTGATTCTTGCTTAATAGATAAAGCCCAGAAGTTGAAGTAGAGGTGAGTATAGAATGGAAAATCAAGGCCACATCTAATGATTTATTATATACCATAGTAAACTGAAAACTGTAAGCAACATTATTTGGATACTGTGATTAAAATATATAATAGTCCTTATTTTATTAAAGTTGATTTTTCTGTAATCTGTGATAGAAAAGATAGAAAATATTCTGTAAATAGCAGTGTTTTTGTTTCCACAGGCTCGTATATTCAATGAAACACCCATCAATCCAAGAAGATGTTTGCATATTCTTACAAAGATTCTGTACTTATTGAACCAGGTAGATTATTTTGATTTTCCTCAGACTTGTGTCCTGAAATAGCAATACATAATATGCAGTGAAGTACTTTCTGGAAAATATAATTATTTATATTTTTTAATTTACTTAATTTTTAATCTGTAGTGTTTGATTAACATAATACTATATAAAATTTCTTGAGGACAAGGAGTATGAAATATACTTTTGAAGTACCAAACCAGCTAAGCACATAGTAGATTCTCAATATTGATTTGAATTTAACAAGCATTAGTTAATGTTAAAACATGCTGTTTCGATTTGTTCAGAGGTCTTTATGTCCTTCCAAAAATATATTGCAAAATCTTAGACAAATTCCAAGTGGATATTTTATCCTTTTTAGGGGGCAGATGTAATAATGATTTTTAAAACTTTGATTTTAATATTCAGATTTTATACAGGCATACCTCATTTTATTGCACTTCGCTTTATTGCTTTTTTTTTTACACAAATTTTAGGTTTGTGACAATCCTGCATTGTCAGATGATGGTTAGCATTATTTAGCAATAAAGTATTTTTAAATTAAGGTGTGTGCATTTCTTTTAGACATAATGCTATTGCACAAAATAGACTAAAGTATAGTGGGAACATAACTCTTATAGGCATTGGGAAACCAAAAAATTCCTGTGACTTGAATTATAGCAATATATATTGCAATGGTCTGAACCGAACCCACAGTGTCTCTGAGGTATGCCTGTATTTATTACCCCTACTCCACCACGTAGCAGTATGATTCTGACCTGAACTGTTTTGTGCCTTAATGTTCTTTTCTGTAAATAGGGATTATGATAATACCTGCTTTATACAGTTGTAGTGATTAATTGAGACAATAAAGGTAAAGCATTGAGAATAATCCTGGACACATAGTAAGCATTCAGGAGTAGATTTCATTCAGTCATTCAGCATTTATATTTATGACATACCTGCTGTGTGCTATGTAGTGTTTCAGGCACTGGGGTTATAGCAGACAAAACCAACAAAAATATTTTTGCCCTCTGGAAGCATAGATCCCACTTGGTCTTATTGTTATTTATTTTTTCTTGTGTATGGTTTTATTTATTTATTTTTTGTTCGTTTCTTGTATTTTGTTTTGTTGCTTCAGACTAGAAAATACCATGAGATGTTAGGGCCTTAGAAAATGTGATTTTGTTTCTTAGATTCACACACACACACACACACACACACTCACTCACACACACACACACACACACACACACACACAGTGTAGCTTAGGTGGTTTACATGCAGTGCTCAGAAGACTGTGGTTTCCAATTTGAATTCCATGAGAATATTTTTACTTTACTATGTTTCATGACTGAAGACCTCATCCAGGGACATAAAATTTTGTAGTTTGCAGATGGAGACTGAGCAACAGGTACATGCTTTTAAATAAAATGTCTGTTCACAAACATCATATCCTCCTGTGATGTCATATTAGAAACATTTAAGGCAAAGTTACATTGATTTAACTTTTCATAGCGCCCATTGTATCCAAGTTGGCTAACTCCATTCTATAAGCAGAGTTTTGAGTAGTTGATGTTGGTTCAGAGAAGCGTATGTTTTTATATTAGCCAGTACTGCTTTGATGGGCGTCTCCTGTTGAAACATATGATTATCTTGATGAGGAAATTACTTGCAGTCTGATAAATAAACACATTCAACTACGTGAACATATTTGGGAACCTTAGTTTTATTTTTTGCTTAGTTCTTGGTAGTGCTTTACAGAAGAAGACTTTTAGGTTTCTATCAGAGTTGACATATGCATATATTCTCTGAATTTCAAGTGAAAAAGTAGAGACTTAAAGTTTACTAGTATGACCAAAAGTAAATGGACTTCTATGTATTCAATAAATATGCAAGAAAGAAAAGGAAATCTCTTGCTGATAAGCAGGTTGGGTACTCTGACTTAAGTGATTGTAAACTCTTATTATACTTTGTCTTTAATCCTAAACTTTCAAAGTTTTTTGTCAGAATTTGCTTATTCTTATGCCTGTGACAAGTAGATTGAAGACTAGTTCCATTCTTTGTGAGAGTTGAAGTGAAAAATGATTGAGCCTAATATATAGGATTACTGTTAATGAAGATTACATATTGAAATGGTAATGTTTCAGGTGGTCTATGATCTGCAGTATTTTGACTGTTAATGAAATAAATTATCTAACACCTTGCTACTCAAAAATACGTGGTTCCCAGATGAACAGCATTTGCATCACTGGGAGCTAGTTAGAAATGGAAAATTTCAGGCCTCATCCCAGAGCCACTGAATCAGAATCGCATTTTGGGAAGATGCTCAGATGATTTATTAAGCACATTAAAATTTTGATCCAAGCATATTTTGAAGGCCTTGAGCCAGTGTCTTGAGATCTATTAGTAGTCCTTTAAGCCTCACTTTTATATAGCTAATCTGATTCCTGCCCTTATAGTTGGTTCCTTTTTACCATGTTTTCTGGGATTCCTAGTCGTTTTTTACAGTTTAATATTTATTATACTCCTATGATATGTCAGGCTTTGCAGTAGGCATTGGCCTATAGAAATGTATGAGGTATGATCTCTGCTCTTAGGCAGTGTAACAATAACATCCTATTCTTACTAGGAACTGTTCTACAGGGAAATTAAACATTTCCTGTTAAAAGATTAGAGACCACTATTCTAGAACTTTTATAGCATGGTGTGTGATACTGAGTTATTTTAAATAAAGAATGGATAATTGGCTATGTGGGTTTATAAATTAAAAGCAAGAAAAATAGTAAAGAGGCACAATGTTTATAAAGAGATTTTTCTCCTAAGTTCTAAAAGATCTTTGCAGAAACAAAAAGAAATCCTCAATTTTCTTTTCTTTTTTTTTTTTTTTGAGTTTAAGAAATTGTTTTAAATTCAGTTGTTTTCCTTAGGGGGAACATTTTGGAACTACGGAAGCCACAGAAGCCTTCTTTGCAATGACTCGATTGTTTCAATCTAATGATGTAAGTCCCTTTTTTTTTTTTTAATTCTTTTAGGCTAAGAATGCTCCTTTTATTTGTTTTTCTTAGGGGAGAGCTTAGAGTGTTCCAAATTAGAGAAGGTTGCTTGAAATGTTTAAAATTACCTAAAAATTATTTCTCTTCTTAAAACTCATAAATGCTCATTAAAGGACATATGAAAATGAAAGAACTTAAGTATGTAGTTGAAAGCTATTCACTCACAGGTCTACAGTGTGATCATGAAAACTGTTAGTGTCCAGCTTCTGGCGTGGCACTGCACAGGTGGACCAGCGTAGAGGTTAGCGGACGTAGCTGCCACACCTCTAAGTTCTTCACCAAGTTTCTGGTGGACTGGGGGTTGCTGTTGGCCAGCAGGACTGGCAGTCGAGAAGAGCTGGATGCTGAGCAGGAAAAAAGAAGAGTGAGGACAAACTAAAGCTGCCACATCCCTGCATCTGTCTCTCATTACCTTAGACTACACTGACTTTCAAGCACAATGGCTGCTGCTTTATTTCTGTCTTCTGCATGTGGCACATACTTCATTTTAGCCGAGTTCTCACTCAGAACCACACAGAGAAGGGAATTCTGGGATCTGTATTTCTCAGCTTTCTATTAACATAAATTGGACAAGCTGTGTAGTTCTTTTGGTATGTATTGCATATCTTCACAGGCCACACTGTGCCTGACCCCGAGGACTTTCCTGGATTTGAATCTGGTTACGTGTCTAGATAATGAGCAGTTTGGGGATTGGGTCCTTAGGAACATCAGCAGTCCCATGTAAGGCAGCTATCTCTGGGGAAGTCATTACACATTCCTCAGACAGGGTATGAAGGACCACTTCTTCTTGCCAAGGAGGCTTGGAGGAATTTAGAGGTTCAAGGTACTCAGCTTCATCAGAATCTACCCATATGTCCCCATTCCAATTTTCAGGGCCTCTCCTTCTTAATCAAGGTCCTAGCTTTAACATAAGATGCCCCACAAAGATGTGAATTGAATTTGCATTGTATTGCATTGTCCACCACCTGCAGGATATGCTTTTTGGAAATTTCAGCCCATGTGCCTCTTTGTGGCTCTGTGAATTCCTCTTTCCAGGTGTCTTGTGGTAGGCCAAAGGTTGCTGTTGCTCAGAGGGCTGGCAGTTGGGAAGAAGAACGGGACGTGGAGCAGGATAGAGGATGCAGAGCAGGAAAGAAACAGTGAGGACAAACTCAAATCCTCTAGCCAGAAGTTGTATTAAGAGAAGACATGAAATAGTTTTCTAGGAAATGGATCGGGGAAATACAGGATTGTTAGGCAGGACGAATGGCCCCTTCAGGTTAGTGGTCATAATGTATTTTTGAGATCTGTCCACTTGCTACAAGTACTTTTACTTTATTCCATTTTACTGCTGTATAGAATCCCAGTGTGTGAATATACTATATTCTTATTTATTTATCCATCCTTCCATTGGTAGATCTGTAAATTGCTTCCACTTTTTTACTGTTACAAATGACATTACACATAATGTTTTATGTGCATATCTTCTTGTGCACGTAATTTTTTCAGGGGTAGATACCTATAAGTGGAATTTCTGGGTAATGCTAGTTACACGATCTTGTCAAATTGATCTTTAAAGGGTTGTACTAATTTACACTGATTTACTCCAAATCCTCACCTGCTTCTAATAATAATTTCTTATTATCAGACCTAAATATTTGCCATTCAGAAGAATATGATATGGCATCTCTTTGTGATTTTAATTTGCGTTTAATGTCACTGCTGAAATTGAAACTCTTTTCATGTGGTTAGTGGTCATTTTACTTTCCTATTCTGTGAATTGTCTGTTTATATTCTTTGCTTGTTTATATTCCTTCTACTGATTTATAGGTTTAAAATTCTATTTCAGCCTTTAAAAAAAATCATCCTTGAATGTTTGTTTTTAATTTTTAAAATAAGCTTAAATATGCAACAAAATTCATCAATTATGTGTACAACTGTGAGTTTTGACTAATGTATAGAGTCATGGAACCATTACCACAGTCATGATAGAGAAACTTTTCATCAGCCTAGAATGTGCCCCCATATTTCTTAGTTGTCTGTCTCCTCCCTCAAACCCTAGCTCCTGGCAATCACTGATCAACTTTCTGACAACATAGTTTTGCATTTTCTAGAATTTATTTTAAATTTGATCACTTAGTATATAGTCTTCTATGACTTTTATGTCATGTTCCTTGCACTTAGCCTGTCTATGGCTTTTGAAACTGATCCAAGTTTTTGTGTGTATCAGTAGTTTGTTCACTTTTATTGTGAGTAGTAGTCCATTGTATGAAGGTAGTCTAATTTATTTATCCATTCACAAATGGCCAGTAGGCACATGAAAAATGCTCAATATTGCTAATTATCAGAGAAATGCAAATCAAAACTACAATGAGGTATCACCTCACACCAGTCAGAATGGCCATCACTTAAAAGTCCACAAACAATCAATACTGGATAGAGTGTGGAGAAAAGGGAACACTCCTACATTAATGGTGGGAATGTAGTTTGGTGCAGCCATTATGGAAACAGTATGGAGATTCCTCAAAAGACTAAAAATAGACTTACCATATGGTCCAACAATCCCATTCTTGTGCACATATCCAGGGGGAACCTTAATTCAAAAGGATACATGTACCCCAATGTTTATAGCAGCACTGTTTACAATAGCCATGGCATAGAAACAACCTAAATGTCCATTGACAGATGACTGGGTAAAGAAATCGTGGTATATTTCTACAATGGAATACTACTCAGCGATGAAAAAATAAAATAATGCCATTTGCAGCAACATGGATTGATCTGGAAATTGTCATTCTAAGTGAAGTAAGCCAGAGAGAAAGAAAAGTACCATATGATATCACTTATATGTGGAATCTTAAAAAAAGACACATGAACTTACTTACAAAACAGAAACAGCCTCACAGACATAAAAAGTAAACTTATGGTTACTGGAGGCAGGGGGTAGGGTGGGAGGTGGGTGGGAAGGGATAAATTGGGAGCTTGAGATTTGCAGATAGTAACTAGTATATATAAAATAGATAAATAACAAGTTTCTACTGTATATTACATGGAACTATATTTAATGTCTTGTAGTAATCTATAATGAAAAGAGTATGAAAAACGAATAAATGTATGTATATGTATGACTAAACTGTTATGCTGTACACCAGAAGTTGACAGAACATTTAAATTATACTTCAATAAAAAGCAAACAATAGAAAAAAAAAAACCCCCAAAACAAGTTAATGGATATTTGGGTTGTTTCCAGTTTATGGATATTATGAACAAAGCTGCTAAAAAATTCAAGTACAAGTCTTTGTGTGGACCTATGTTTTTATTTTCTTTGATTAACATCTAGAAGTAACATTCTTGGGTTTGTGTATCCTTAATGATGAATGTATTAAGCCTGTACTAAGCAAATATATGCTTATTTGCCTTCCATTTTTCTTCTTGGGTGAAGTGTCTGTTCAAAATTTACCTTTTTTTAAAAAATCTGATTGTTTATCTTCCCTTTATTGGGTTGTAAGTGTTCTTTATATTTTCGGGGTATAAGACCTCCATCAGATAGGTGTTTCAGAAATATTTCCTCCCAGTCTGTGGCTTGCCTTTTCGTTCTCTTATCACTGTGCTGTTGTCTTTCTTTTTTTTTAAGCACAATTTATAGGGTATAGTTTTATGAGTTTTGACAAACGCATACAGTAGTATTATCATCACTGCAATCAAAATGTAGAACATTTCCATCACTCCAAAAAGTTCCCTGTTGTATGATCTATACCTCCTATCCTCAGGCCCTGGAGCCACTAATCTCTTTTTTTCCCTAATAGTTTTGCCTTTCCAGGAAGTCGTAAGAATGATATCATACTGTATGAAGCCTTTTGAGTCTTCTTTTCAGTCACTTAGCATAACGTGTTTGAGGTTTGTCCATGTTACGCTGTTTGTATCAGTTTACTCTTTTTTATTTCATTGTAGTAATTCATTGTATGAATGTACCTCAATTTGTTTATCTGTTCACCAGCTGAAAGATATTTGGTATGTTCCTATTTTTTGGTGGTTATGAATAAAGTTACTATAAACGTTCATTTATAGGTTCTAGAACATATAAGTTTTTATTTCTCTTGGGTAAATACCTAGGAATGGAATTGCTGGGTCATATGATAGGTGTATGTATGTTTAACCTTGTAAGAAACTGCCAACCCATTTTCCAAAGTAACCGTACCATTCCCACCATCGCTGTATGAAAGTTCTAATAGCTCTGCAGTCTGGCCAGCACTTGATATTGTCTGCTTTTTTGTGTTTTTGGTTTTTTTAAAATTTTAGTATAGGTATGTAGTGGTATCTCTTTGTAGCTTTAATTTGCATTTTCCTAATGACTAAAGATCTCAAACATCTTTTCATGTGTTTTTTTTTTTGCCTTCTATATATCTCCTATGATGAAGGATCTGTTCGTATTTTGTGCCCATTTTTAATAATTTGGTTGTATATTTTCTTATTAATGAGTTTTGAGAGATCTTTCTGTATTCTGGATACAAGTCCTTTATCAGATGTTTCACAGGTAATTTCTCACAGTCTTTGCCTTGTTTTTTCATTTTCTTAGTCTTTCAAAGAGCAGATGTTTTAATTTTGATGACGTAGAGTTCATCAGTTTTTTTCTATTAGAGGTTGTGCTTTTGATGTGTATTGTAGAAATCTTTGCCTAACCCAGAGTCACAAAGATTTTCTCCTATGCTTTTTACCCTAGGCATTTTGTAGTTTTTGTGTCTTAAAATTACTTTATGATCCATTTTGAGTTTATTTTTGTACATGATATAAAGTGAAAATTGAATTTCTTTTCATCTCCTTCCTCTTCTTTCACCATCTCCTCCTTTTCCTCCTACTTTATTTTCTCAACATTTTCTACTGGAATAATTGGGTATCAATATGGAGGGAGGAGGAAAGGGAAGAAATGATGACTGAGCTATGCTGACACATTGCAACATTCTGTTTCG